GAGTGGAATTAAATATATGACAAGATTTAGAAAGCTGTTAATAGTGTAAAAATTCGAAAAGCATAACCTAAATTCTCTCTCGCTCTTTCTAGTATAACCACACCAGAGCACAAGGCTCTTGCTGTCATGAGCCAGTTCAACGCCGTACTAGTCTATAGTTTCTTCCGTTGGTTGCAACGGAGCAACATTTGATTAATTTCTTGTTCAAAAGAAGGAAAGTACGGAAGAGAAGTATTTTTTTCTTTTTTTCAGGATTCAGACCCGCTATCTCCAAAGTTCAAAGACCATCTTTACCATTATTCCACTCACCCTCCGAATTTAAAATGGAAGGTCTCATGGGCGAGCAATCTTCTTCCTGTACACGATTCTCACCACATGTAACTTTCATGCGCTTTTTTAGCCATTGTGAAGGCAAGACAGGTCGATGAAGCGCGCAAAAGGGAAGAAGTACAGTACAAACTGTATCTGGCAGTCAATTCGATCAGTCTGAGGCAGGGCTTGTTCAGTGTGTTGGCGACGGTAAGCGAAAGTGGCACTGACGAGCTGAGCATCGTTAAGGAGTTGATGTCTGACGGCAACGTTTTCGTCCGCATGGTTCGATCGCTCTGCCCTGGCATTTACGGTCATCATATGGTCAAAGCCGGTCTGTTGTTGGCACTTTTTGGCGGTTCTGACAGTTCATCCGACGCGCTCTCATTCGGCCGAACCAGTATCCACGTACTGATCATTGGCGATCCTAGTTTAGGTAAATTAAACCTAACCAATTCATTCATCGTTTTCCAAACTGGGTATAAAATTTCTACATATTGCATGGCCTAAACTACTTTACTGTATTAATATACTCTACTAATGTCGTATAAAAATGGAACACAAACATTTCTGTGAAGTACATATATTCAACAACAATATGCGATAGTGCAGTATTTATCTGTAGTCGATATGCTTATAACTTCAGATTTTGTCATCATCTTATTTTACAGATCTTCAGCATACTGTATGAGCTTGCGAGAGTTGTTCATTGCGCAAGTATTATTAATTAGCCATGATCAATAACCGCAATATCTGTGATACAATTGCAACACATATTTCTATATGTAACCTATATTATTCGATTATATTTCCGGGGCATATATATCTCATCTTTCCAACGGTCCAGGCGCACCACCAGATGATTACATTTAATGACCTTATTTTAAGGAGAGGTTTTCTGTATGATTCTGTCATCTCGTCGGCAGTGTGTCCCTGGACCATTCTCTTTCTGGCTTTGCATGAGAACCCTACTTCTGAGTCTCTATCGATCACTTGTACAAATCATCGCATTTCCGATGCATATAATAATATATGTAAGTAAATTTATATAAAAGATGCATTTAAATTGATTGATATTTATGGAAAGATTGATGTCAATATTAATTTTAAAAAAGCGAAAAAGATCATGCTGTCCATACTGTAAAAAAAGACCGTTCGGCAGTTAGGTAGAAGGGATATTCATACATT